ACTGCGGAAGCTCAACAGCGAGTTGCAGTGGAAATAGCAGAACAATTCCTAGCAATATCCGGTATCACTGACAAATACACGGTTACAGGAATAGTCAATGCCCCGATTCTCTCAGCTGCAATGTCGAGTGATAATGGAGCCTGGATCGAGCTGTCGAAGAGGCTCGGCCAATTGGCTGCCAGATTCCTCAAGAAAAACGTTAAAGCACAAATTGAAAGTCAAACTGTTGGGACTGGAATGCAGAATAAGAAATTTATCCATACGGCTGTGCTCGTTGGTGTGCTCAGTGGACAGACCCAGAATGGCTTGAATCTTATCAATGCACCAACACTTGCCAAGGATATTGGAATTGATCTCAAAGAGGCTCATTTCGATGGGGATGGGGACATGGTTGCTGTGAGAATCGGACAGCATTTACTGAAAGGTAATTTTTTTATCTTTTAGTCTTGCACATATATTTGACATTAAACGGGTGAGAAATTCCTCTTTCATTGCAATCAGATTTTAATTTCAATAAAATCTGATTGAAATATTCTCTTTACGCACATTCGAAATAATTTGAAATATACGATAAAAAAAAATCGGATTGAATAAAAAATTGGAAATTGGCAGAAATCCTTTGAAAAATTATATCGACATATATCTCGATAAAATAATTTCTTTAATTATCGTAAAAAAAAATCATTTACCGAAATTTCTATAAAATAAAAAAAATGAGGTCTCCATTCCGCAATCGTGAGATATTTAGATGAAATAGAGGTCATAATGAAATTCTAAAAAAGGATTCACCTCGTGCATTAAAGAATATCCCATAACACGAGGATTTAATTTCACTGCGAAAAATTCGTACATTCGTATTTACACTCCTCATTTATGTACGTAAATATCTCTCCATTCAGGGATTCATCCAATAATACGTAACATTTTCACTTCCACCCTGAAATAAATAATTTTCCTCCCGCACAGGTACCGTACGGAACAATGAAGCTCTTCTTCTTTCCATCGACGATGCGATTTTCAATAATGGAATTGTCCTAAGAGACTTTATCTCACTGTATCATGCAAATGGACCGCAGGATCTCGCGACCATTGTCAACGCCTTCTCCTCCAAAGACATCGGCATCAATAGTCTTTATGCTAATGGCGTTTGGCTCGCCATTGAGACAAATCAGGATGTTTCAATTCCCATCAACGGAATTGAGGTTTATTAAAGTGCACACCAATATAGATAATTCCACTCTCC